TTTTTATCTGGGACTGATCTGGTTTTCATCTGGTTCTGATCTGGTTTTCATCTGGTTCTGATCTGGTTTTTATTTAATTCTGATCTGGTTTTTATCTGTTTTTTTCTGGTTCTGATCTGTTTTGATCTGGTTCTGATCTGGTTTTGATCTGGTTCTGATCTGGTTCTGATGTACTCCCTCTTCCTCATTGCATTGCAGTCTTTATTGTTTGTGTTGATGTTTATTTCAGTTTGGTGTTGTGCAGCACAGTGGTCGGCTGCTGTTGTTTGGTCATTTGTGATTTGGTTGGCGCAGCGGAAGGTTCCGTGGATGTTCCGAGGTTCTGTACGGAACCATCAATGGCAATACAAGTGGGGAAAACATCGTACACGATGTTACATACTTAAATGAGACGTAGCTCAGAGATGCAGCCTCTCGGGATGAGGAGTGTGTGAGAGTGTGTGTGTGTGAGAGAGTGTGGTAGAGAGTGTGGTAGAGAGTGAGTGTGTGTGTGTGTGTGTGTGTGAGAGAGAGAGTTTGTGTGTGTGTGTGTGTGTGAGAGTGTGGTAGAGAGAGTGTGTGTGTGTGTGTGTGTGAGAGAGAGAGAGAGAGAGAGAGAGAGAGAGAGAGAGAGTTTGTGTGTGTGGACACTGTCATTAGTGTGCAGGTGGATCCCATGAGGCCGTGTGACTGAGAGAAGGAATGTGTGTGTGTGTGTGTGTGTGTGTGTGTGTGTGTGTGGGAGGGGCGGTCTGTCTTCAGTCAGAGCGTGAGGTGAGGCTCGTGTCCAGTGTGTGTGTGTGTGTGTTGGAGAGAGCAGCGGCTGCTGGACATGCTGAGCTCATTCAGCAGACGCTGGAGTGTGTGTCTGACAGGAGGAGTGTGTAGTCATGCAGGGCAGGACAGGGAAAGCGCTGAAGAAGGAGCTGGTGATCGAGTCTCCTCAGCAGTTTAAATACGTGCCCGTGCCGGAGGACCAGCAGGACGACTGCAGTCCTCAGAGGAAGGTCAGTCCATCACACACACACACACACACTCCCCAGAGCTGAGGATCACACAGGCTTCCACTGAGAGGAGGAGGAAGGCGAAGGGTTTGATCGTCAGTCACTGTTTTCTCTCCGCTCTGGGATTGTTTAAAGAGTTTATGAGTCTGTCTGTCAGTTTTACTGTAGTTTGATAGTTCAATCAATCAGCTTTATAGTTTCAGTGAATTTTAACACGTATTGTAGTAGTTGCTTTCTTGTATTCAGTCTCTCAACTGTGTGATAGTGTAACGACTTTTTTCAATCTGCATTATTCTGTGATGCTTCGATAATCAATGTTTGTGATAGTTGAAGTGTGTGTAGACGTTATGAAAGACTGAGGTGGGGTTGGTTCAGTGCCTGTGAACTGGAGCAGGTTAAAGGGTATGAAGTATTTTAATATACCATATTCACATATTTTAAATAAGTGAAGACATTTATTTATTAAAGAATCCTTGGAAAAAATGTATCACGGATTCCACAGAAATATGAAGCAGCAAAACTGTTTTCAAGAGTGATAATAATCAGAAATGTTTCTGAAGGATCATGTGACACTAAAGTAAAGACACTTTTAAATTGTAATAATATTGCACAATATTACAGTTTTTACTCTGTGTTTTTTGCTCAAATAAACGCAGAAGAGACTTATAAAACATGAATACATCTCACCGGCTCTAACTGGAGGGAATATCATGGCATTTCTGTAGTTTGAAGTGTTAAAAAAGCTCTCAAATGTCTCATCAGGATTATCGCCCGAGTCCAGACTCACCTTCTCTGACACACACACACACACACACACACACACACACACACACACACACACACACACACACATTCTTCAAACCTGGCTGTCATTGCACACACGTTATATCTTTTCTCTGTCTTTCTAATCCTATTCACACAATAGAGTTGAGATCAGCTTTCAGACTGCAGAGATGTGTGTGTGTGTTGAGATGATTTAAAAGGAGATCACACACACTTCCATCATCTCGTGTGTGTGTGTGTGTGTGTGTCTCCTGCTGTGTGTTAAATCCAGTATATTCTGCTGTTCTGCTGACTTATCAACTTTATTTTGGAAACTGAGTGTGTTGTCATGTGTGAGCCAGTTAGAGTGTGTCTGTGTGTTTCAGAGTACAGCTGTAAGAAGTACACATACACACACACTCCTGTGATGCTATTTTGAACACAACTGTGCAAACATTGTCCCATTCATGTTCCCAGGAATAAATAAAGGTGTGTGTCTTTCCCATTTGTGTTTGTACACATGCCGTGACATACTTTACTCCGTCTGAAACTGTCCGGTAACATTTTGTATAATGCTTTATAAATGTTTTTATGCATTAATTATGCCTTGCAAAAATCACCTTATGTACCCACAATTATACATATATATATATATATATATATATATATATATTAGGGCTGTGCAAAAATTAATTGCGGTTAATCGCATCCAAAATAAAAGTCTGTGTTTACATAAAATATTTGTGTGTGCTGTATATAATTATTTTTTATATATAAATACACACACATGCATGTATATATTTAATAAAATGTGTTATTCATATACAAAATATTTATATTTATACAATATAGATTATGTTTTTATAAATATATAGAGAATTTAAGCGCAAATAATTCTTAAATATATACATGCATGCATAGGTATTTATATATACAAAATAATTATATTCAGCACACAAAATATATTATGTAAATACAGACTTTTATTTTGGATGCGATTAATTGCAATTAACTTTTGCACAGCCCTAATATATATATTTATATAGCATTAAAAGACGACAAACAACCAATTTAAGATGTAAGAAGGAATCTGTGAATATTATAATGCATTTGAACCTGTTTATGAAATATGCATTGCATTATAATATACATTATGAATAACTTTAATGCATTATACAAAAAGGCTTTAAGGAAAGTTTCACCGATAGAAATTGTTTATAGTTGCTATAATTGGATATTTTAAGTTGGCATTAATTAAATGAAATGAGTTGTTCTTCTGTCACACCACAGGGCCATTTCTGAAGGGAAAATGATATAAAAGCTGAGCTATGTAAATAATCGTCTCATTAATGTGAACTGAGAACAGTTGAGTCTCAGTTAACCGTCCAGAAAAGTGAAGTTAGTCGAGAGCGAGTTTATACCTTTAGTTTCATTATGGCCACAATAAAATCACCTGTCAGTCATATGACTGTTACTCAGCTCTCTCATATTTGAGCTAAAGATTAAACTGCTGAATGTCTAAAATATGTCTCAAACACACATTTCACTGGAAATCTGAAAACGTGCCTCAATAGAAGAGCTCAAAGGCAAAGAGCAAAATACATGTTTATTTTAACACAATTGTTTTGGTGTAGTGTTGCGGGTGTGTTATCTTCAAACGTGTTGAGCTTGCCATGATGCAAACAACATCTAACGTAATAAACCTGGCCAGATTCACGTTCGTTGGTTCTGGGTAAAACAGCGCCACCCACTGGACATTTTACTTGTGCAGCGTGCAACAAGCAATGCAATATTATCATAATGTTGCCACAGGAATGCCTTTTAAATAAGTCTGAGTATTGGTTTGCATGCTCATGATACACACACACATTAGTGGGAGTGAACCTGTTGTGGTGTGTGTAAGCTGTAATGTTGGTGTTTGTGAGATTCTGGCCTTTCATTGGTCTATCTAGTTATGATATCATCATCAAAACAACTCCGTCTCCCTGGGCGACAGCGTCTGAGGTCATTCTGCCAATATCACTCCCAGATGGACTGTGTTATCTCACTTTGTCTTACACACACACTCCCAGTTTCCTCCTATACAGTATCAGTGGAAACACATTACCAAGATCCTCGGCCAAAATTCCCATATTCTTTAGAGATCACCATTTTTTGTTACAGAAAGAAATGAGTAGGGTTGGGTATCGAGAATCGAGTATCGATTGGATCCGGCAATAACTTTTTGTTTTTCCCGGAATCGTTCAAAAGTTAAAATTTCGATTCCTAGTTTCGATATTCACAGTCCACCGAGCGGAAGAAGAAACCGCTGAACAACACCAACGAAGAAGCGTCTACCGGAAGTGTTGGCATAACTTTTTTTTTGTTTTTGTTGTTTTTTTTTTTATTTTTTATTTTATTCTGAACAATACACAGGACAATAGGTACAGAGAACACTACAGATAATGTAACCTGTTCAACAAAATTAAATCAATAGTGTATAGACCAGAGGATAATAACAAATAAATTAATATAATTATAGAAGGGGAAAATTTTTTTTAAAAAATATGCAGTGCCTTCAGGAGATGAAATGTTAGTGTTGGCATAACCGCGCGAGTCGAACATGAGTAGCTTACGTCAGCGGTCCAAAGTGTGGCTTCACTTTTCTAAAAAATAACGAAATCTCGGCAAAATGCTAAATTTGTGACAAAAGGAGTATTTGTGACAGGAGTATTTCCTTCAGAAAGGATTATTTCCTTCAGAAAGACCGTTGGTTAGCAAGGTTAGCTAAACTTTTTTGACCCTGCCTCTTAAAAGAATCGGAATCGAGAATCGTTAGGAACCGGAATCGAAACAAGGAATCGGAATTGGAATCAGAATCGTTCAAATTCAAACGATACCCAACCCTAGAAATGAGAAAAGCAAAGGGAGGATCGTGATCGCTGCACATGGACTGCCTGTTATTTCAGTTTGAGTTATATGACGTTTATATAGCATCTCTGTTGTAAACGCAGCTCCTCTTGAATTGTGGAATTGAGCAGTAGTTCTCCACTTAACATTCAGAGTTCATTTTTATCATACAAACTCCTTTTATCTTTTTAAAAAAGTGTGATTTTAAGTTCCTCTGAACTCCGAGGTGTTTCAGACGATGTTCCCTTTAAACATCACTTATTCTTAGTCACAATGGTGAATCTTCAGTCTTTTCCTCATTTGATTGTGCTAATTCGCTGTGAGTTGCTGGAATATGAAGTGTGATCTGCTGAATGTGTGTTTCAGGTGAAGCCGCGTGTGGTGGAGCCCCTGGACTATGAGAGTGTGTTGGTTCAGAGGAAGACTCAGATCCTCAGCGATGGACTCCGAGACATGCTGCAGTTTCCTCTGGAGGACTTCCAGGTGATCAGGCTCCACTTTACACACCACATGATGGCCCTTTTCTGTTTAAATGGGCATTTAGGCAGGAATAATATGTGACCCGTGCTGGCAACATGAGTCTCCGGGATCAATTTGAGCTACAGGCGAAACAAGTGAAAGATTTTCACAAAAAAATAGTTAATTAAAGTAGTAGTTCACTGCAGAATTAAAATTCCCTGATAATTTACTCATCCCCACGTCATGAGATATTCGAGCCTGTTCTCATCCTTTGGCGTCATATAGGTGACGCCATATGACATGGCACCCTTTAGCGTCAATATAACACGCAGAACCCAAGGCGTCATACAGGTGACTGGCATTCTTCAGGCCGTGTGTCCACCAAAGCGTTTTTCCACGCTCCTGGCGTATGTTTTCAATTGTTTTCAATGGGAGCGCCGCGTTTTTTAAACGCCATGAGCGTGACGAGGCGCTGAGCGTTTTTTTTCACGCTGAAGCGCCCGGCGTTTTTACTGGTCGCTGAGAGTTGAAAAATGTTCAATTTTGGATAAAACGCAGCGCTCATCACTGTCACTTTTTACCCAGCCGTCCAATCACAGTGGAGGAGGGGCGGGACTAATACCACACCGACCAACTGTCACAACATTCAAACTGCTGCGGATATTCTGTATCATAGCAACGTAAAAAAACGCTGCGCTGCCAAAACGCTCTCAAGCGTCCAAAGCATGGCGTCTTCAGCAGAGCGTCTAGCGTTTCAGCTGTGGTGGACACACGGCCTTAAGGCCAATTTATACTTCTGCGTAGGGTGCGCGCAGTAGGTACGGCGTAGCATACGCACAGACGCGTCCCATTGCGCGTACCCTTCGCCGTCGCCTGACGCGCACCTCCTCAAAAATGTAACTACACGTCGCGACGACGCGGACCGCAAGATCGGTGATTGGTCGGCTTGGTAGCATCGCATTTCCTCCTACGCATTTCCGCACGTACCTTCTCACACATTTCCATCACTGTCTATGATTTCCACACGTACCATCTCCTCCGACGTCTTCTCTCATTTCTGCCTTTCAGTTTTAGTAATTTCACTAAAGTGAACTGTTTTTCCACCTCAATAAGCTCCAACTCCAACATGATCCACTCTCTTTCAATCGCTATTGCTTGTAGTAACCTAGCCGCGAGGAATCTAAACACAGTGGAACATTAAAACTCTCCGCCGCCAACTAGCGTTTCGGAGCAGTACTGCAGAGCAACAAGACCTGAACGCAGAAGTATAAATGCTCATAACGGCGTCGCCTACGTGCGTAGCCAACGCCGCACATTACGGCGTACCCTCGACGCAGAAGTATAAATTGGCCTTTAGCGTCAATATGAGACGCAGACCCTACCCCAGACCTAAACCTACCCATAAGAGTGTGTGTGTTACATTGACTCTAAAGGGTGCCATGTGCTTAGTATTTCGACGAAATGTCATATGGCGTCACCTATATGATGCGTTGGATATTCATGTCTTTTTTGGGGGGGGTTGAAGGTCCAGATGCGAGTTTCAGAGCAGCTTCAAAGTCGAGGAATAAGAGTGTAAGGCCGTGTGTCCAGCAAAGCGGTTTTCCACGCGCCAATTGTTTTCAACGCCGGGTTTTTTTAAACGGCATGAGCGTAACGAGGCGCTGAGCGTTTTCACACCGAGCGCCGGGAGTTGAAAAATGTTTAACTTTGGGTAAAACGCAGCGCTCATCACTGTCACTTTTTACCCAGCCGTCCAATCACAGTGGAGGAGGGGCGGGACTAATACCACACCGACCAACTGTCACAACATTCTCTCTGTACAACGACATCAACCGGCAGAGCTAACAAACATTAACCGAACAACATTATTTTAGTATGAAACAAATTATCTGCGAAATCAGTTCCAGTTTCGAAATCAGTTCAGCAAACTGTGCTGCGGATATTCTGTATCATAGCAACGAAACGTCTCAACGGAAAAAGCGTTCAGCGTCTTCAGCAGAGCGGCTGGTGTTTTCAGCTGACTAAAAACGCTTTGGTGGACATTATTCTGGATACGCGTATTATGGGTATCCAGAATATCCCCGACATTTCTTAACTTTTATCCACTAATGCTGGTCTTGCACTCGCTGTGATGCGACACACATTACGTCATCACGTTGAAAGGTCAAGCGGGACGTAGGCGTAAGAACCGAACTAGTGTTTACGAAGAGAACGTGCAAAGACTGACTCAAACGCTCTTTACAAAATAAATAAAAAATAAAAGGTAAAACCACAAGGTCGTATGATTTCGAAGTTGGAAGAGAACCTACCCTACATTACTGAATCGGGACACGCTTGACCTTTCAACATGATGACGTAATGTGTGGCGCATCACAGTGAGTGCAAGACCAGCATTTGTGGATAAAAATATATAAATGTTTGTTTTATTAACCTCTTAACTGTCACCCTCCTTTTTTGAATAGACGTGGAAATGCTCATTTCAAATTTAAATGGTTGTAATTCAAGAATGCTTTGGAATATAGACTTAAGATTGGTCTCGTTTTAAAGAAGACATTTGGCAGATTTTTCTCGAAGTGAAATAAATTAAGAAAGTGAAACAGAAAAAAGTTATAGAAGTTTGAGTTTATAGAAATGTACAATGTAAAAAAATTAATTATTCATATTTTATATGAAATTCATATTTTATATATCTCAAAATATGAGCTTTCAGTGAGATTTAGTTTGGGCGCAGTACCAAACTTTTTCACTAGGGCACAACCAGACTCCATTACAGCCCATATAAGGGCGCCTCCATTTCCATATGTGTTTTGAGTGATGTGAACCATTATTTTCACAAATTTCACACAATTTATGATGTAGAAATCCTATTCAGAAGTAGTATGGGAAGTTTGGCAGATTTTGATATGAATTCAACCTCTAGGAATCACATACAAAGCACACGCATGCTTGTTATAGCTTATTGCCATAACACAAATGGTGAATTAATTATTTTTTTCGTAATATTTAAAACATTTTCAGACCTTTTTTTCTAAAATAATTGAATGGATGCTATCTTTTGAACTCTTGGCATGAAATCAAACTGAGGTTTCGAACTTTTTTTCATGTTCATTGCTATTTCAAAATAAAGGTCTGAACACGCTTTATGAGTATGAAAATATTCTTGTTGCAAATTGAGAAATTACAGCTCCATTTTGAAAATCAGTCTCCAAATATGGAAACTAGAGATTGTAAGCTTTCAAATGATATATAGTTTGTCAATATTACTTAATATATAAAATGTCGGCTGGTTTGTCTAGATGAGACTCTTATTCCTCGGCTGGATCGTGACTGAAACTCACATCTGGACCTTCGACCCGTTTTACTTCATTATTACCCCCACTATATGGAGAAACATCTGAATATAGGCCGTTTCATTAATATTAATCATCATGGGAAATAAAGCACAATATATTTTTTTTCCGATAGGAAATGGTTGCTAGATTTTGTTTTGAAAGCTTCAGAAAACTTTAACTTGGTTTTTATCAAATCTATTGACTTCAAACAGGTGCAGCTCAGTCATTTTTTTGTCTGATTTCAACAAATTATACATCATTTTGATTGTTTTGTTTTTTTTAATAGAGAATGTGAACATAACAACTTTTTGGTATGAATAACTAATTTTTGAGAATCTCATTTTGCCAGCATGGGTCACACACACACTGCTGAAAGTCAGAATCTGCATGACTAGTTTATTCGTGCTGTCTTGCGGGTCTTTTCAGTGAGCTCGTGTGTTAACATCACAGGTTAATCATAAGCTGGAAGCTCTAATGCGAGATGCAGACTTTGACGAATGCTTCTCATCTGCAGTTCAAGTGCTTCGGTATGGTGATCTCAGGTCCCGGGTTATCTCTACTGGGAAATGGCTCTGTGCTCTGTAGTGGCCCAGTTCATTAACCATCGTGCTGTCAGAAACCCTGAGGAACGTTTCGCTGTCCCATCGAGTGCTTCTCAGACATTTCTAGCCATTCTTCAGTACTTCAGTACTGCATTTTTTTTATTAATTTGACAAATTTGGCCATTTTATTCAGTGCCGCATCTTGTTGAGTAAACTCGACCATGGCCTAGACGGATAAAATATGCTTTGCGTGCAAGGAATCTTATGCAAGGAATATTGCACCTGAAAGAGCGATTTACCGAATCACCCGGAGAGTGGTTCACTGAGGTGAAGAAGGCTTCAGGACGTCCCAGAGCATCCCAGAGGAGACCGCAGGTGGTTTCCAGTTCATCTGCACAGACACTGAGGCCAAGACTTTTGGACAATGGCCTGGAGTCAAGAAGGGCACCAAAGAACCCACTTCTCTCCGAGAAAACCATCGCGGACCGACTGAAATTCTGCCGGAAGTGCAAGGATGGGACGGCAGACTGGTGCAGTTATTTCCCCTGACTCTTTAGGACATTTGGAAACTCAATTGGAAACAGTGGTCCCCCAATATAGTTGAACAAATTCCTCTGGGAAACACTGAGACCTTTTCTCCTCCATAGTACAACAAAAGTTCCTTAAACCTGTTAAAGCCAAATTAAAATGGACAAAATGCATTTGGGCTTACCCCCGAATGTTTCCATGTCTCACTCTGCCCCTGATTCTGCCTAAAACACTGTGGGGAATAAAGAAAGGCATCATAACGACCTGCGAGATCAACTCCTGCAGTGTTCCTCTTCTGGTGTCTGTGATTATCATCTCTCCGGGAGGAAGTGGGGCTTCAGGAGAGGAAGTTTGGGAACAGGAGGGCTCTATTGTGTGTGTGTTTTCTCTGGAATGCTATTAACACCGTTTTCCGCTGGATCCGAGACGCACTGACCCTGGTGACGGGGGGAAACACTTTACTTCCAAATATAAAACATCAAGAGCATTAGTGAGAATAATGCCACCTCTGACCTCTGATCCCTCAACCCTCGTCAAGATGCCATGTTTCGTTTGGCATGAAGCGAAAACGAAGGGATCAGCTGCGAGTTTGTTTCTCATCTGAGTCGCTGTATGCAGGATGTAGTTTATTCTTTCTGGTTGCGCTCTCAATTCCATTTGCTTGAATTGTTTAGTGAGGGTACAAGCATATTTTTCAATGGCCATCGATAGTGAAAGATGCTTTTAGCAGTCAAATGGTGTCGTTGCGCCATTCTCTCGGCTGAAGCGATGGAGACGAGTCAGGCTGGGGAGTTTTGCTGTCCAACTGTGTTTGTCCAGCTCGAATGCGTCTTTCATGAGGAAACTCACTGCAGTGGATGGAAATTGTGTAAAAAAAAAAATCTAAATCTAAATTAAATGTGTGATTTCATTTTTAAAGGCATAGTTCACCTCAAAATGAAAATGTCCCTCATGTTTTTCCAAACCTGAATTATTTTCTTTCTTCTGTGGAACATTAAAAGAAGAGGATTTGAAACGTGTCTCTGTGATTTTGCATGACTGATCATCACTGTCTATGAAAACAGAATCTGTTGGGTGTGTGTGTGTGTGTGATAGTAACCCAGTGTGTGTGTTCCTCAGGTGTGTTCAGTGTCCCGCCAGACCCGGACGCTCTGCTCCTCGATCCCCGCTCACGCTCTCAGAGACGCTCAGAGTCTGTTCGTGCAAGAGGTGAAACACACTCTCTCATTACACAACTTTACTCCTTTTACCTTACAGGATGTTGTACATTTTACAGTGTGTGTGTGTGATGATGTGTGATAATATTGTGATGATCTGCTGAATGGCACTGGTCCATGATTCTGTACATGTATTTCACTCCATCTGTAGTATTTGTGTCACTGTAAATCATTAATTTTAAGTGGGCTGAAATAAATTGTGTGACGAGCACAGCACATATTGTTCTATAACAGTATTTGAGTGTTTGACACACACACACACACACACTCGCTGTACTTAGAGGATTTCCTCTGATGTTTATAGAGCGGACTTTGTCCGAGATTGACCTTCATTTCATGTCTCACACACACACACACACACTCCTAGCTGAGTGGAGAATAGAGCTCTATTGTTCTACAGATATTTCCACATCTCTATTAAACTGACTGGCAGATAGGTAAAAACTCAAGGGATACTCCCCAAATTCTCTGAGTACTTACACACACACACACACACACACACACACACACACACACACACACACACAGACTGATGATACTGGCAGACGTTGGGCTGTTCTCCGGCACAATATATTGAACAGATGGTTTAATGTGAGATTTGTAGTCCTACTGAGAAGCTACTTCAAAAGAGATGGATATTAAAATACATTCACAATCAATATTCCCCTTGACACACTGCAGCATATCAGTCAGAAATAATAGTCAGAAAAAAAAGCCTTCTCTTTAAATGGAATATTTTAATAATTAATCATTAAAAGATCGCAATATCAATTCAAACACCCATGATTCCTAAATCACAGTGATTCAGATCTGTGTTTATTAAAGCGTTGATAAGTCTGATCACAGATCTGTGTTTATTAAAGGGTTAGTTCACCCAAAAATGAAAATTAAGTCATTAATTACTCACCCCCACGCTGTACCAACCCCGTAAGACCTTCGTTCGTCTTCGGAACACAAATGAAGATGTGTTTGATGAAATCTGAGAGGTGTCTCACTACCACATTGGCTGCCTAAGGGACAATGAAGAAAATGTTTAAATATCCCAAGTGACTACTGTGGCTCAACTTTAAGTTTATCAAGCGACGAGAATACTTTTTGTGCGAAAAACCCCCCCAAAAATAACGACTTTATTCGACTATTCCTTTTCTTCATTGTTGGCCTGAAACGAGACTTCCTTAGATTTCCACGACGCATGCGCGAGAATTGCGATCTCCTTCAACTACTTCAGTTCAGTCCTCGCGCATGCGTCGTGGAAATCTAAGGAAGTCTCGTTTCAGGCCAACAATGAAGAAAAGGAATAGTCGAATAAAGTCGTTATTTTTGGGGGGTTTTTTCGCACAAAAAGTATTCTCGTCGCTTGATAAACTTAAAGTTGAGCCACGGTAGTCACTTGGGATATTTAAACATTTTCTTCATTGACTTTCTGGGCCGTCAAGAGGCAGTCCCTTAAGCAGCCAATGTGGTAGTTATACAGCTCTCAAATTTAATCAAAAATATCTTCATTTGTGTTCTGAAGATGAACGAAGGTCTTACGGGGTTGGTACAGCATGGGGGTGAGTAATTAATGACTTAATTTTCATTTTTGGGTGAACTAACCCTTTAAAGTGTTGATAAGTCTGATCAGGTCCAGTTTTCAAATAATAGACGGGTCCAGGTCGGGTCCGAGCAGTACATTTACGGCATTTCTCGGATTTGCATGCGTCCAGGTCCAACTTTTGAACTAATAGACCGGTCTGGGTTGGTTCGGTGCATCACATTACCTCTAGTCTCCGGTAGTGCTCACTGGAGTAAATCCCCTTCTGAAAGTAACTTGATGCTTCAAATACAAATTTTATGACAGCGTTACACCAGTAGGTGGTGATGAGCGACTCTTAGGAATAGGGTTGGGTATCGAGTAGGGATGCACCGATACCACTTTTTTGGAAAACGAGTACGAGTACGAGTACTTGCATTTCAGTACTCGCCGATACCGATACCGAGTACTTAATAAAAAAACAAAAAAAACAAGATTTAAATATTTTTATATACGGGTTTTTAGGTCCTTGATTAAATTACTTGGGTAACACTTTATTTCGATAGTCCACTTTACTAACTATAAGTAACTTTTCAATTACATGTCAACTAACTGTCATTAGAGTATTAGTAGACTAGAGTATTAGTACGATCAGCTTAATATCTGATAACACTTTATTTATTTGGTCCCCCAACAGACATTCAACTGACTATAAGTAACTTGGCGACTACAAGTAAACTTATTCTCCTAATCCAAAGCCATTCACTTTGAAATTGTTCCACACCAGTGATGCACGGGTTGATCCAAATGAGCGGGTGCCTGCGCCGCGGTCACCCGCGGTTACCCGCAGTTACGGGTCATCCAAAAATATTTTTAATGATATTCGTGTCGCGGTCGGTCAGGTCGTTTGGAAAAAAATGCCAATTAAACCTTTGTATTTATATAGTACTAGATAGAATTTTCTATGAAATATATAGGCCGAATTTATTTATTGGCTGAATAACTGGCACGAAGATGACACACAAGCTCAGTCTAAACAGTTCTCAGTTCTGTACTGGTGTGATTCGAGAACCGCTGTACCTCTGCGTTCGTTACTATACGCGGATGCGCAGTATCAGCAGTATCAACAACATGTCTCAGTTCAGTGAACTGTTAGAGTTACTGGAGTAAAATATAATTCGGGATCTTGGTTTATTTCAACTCGGAGGGACTGTCAGGCATGTCTGAAAGTGAGTAACTGTAGTAACTTGTGGATCAGCACTGACGCAAGACGTGAACTGATGCGAATGATTCAGTTCGATTTAGGGCCAATCCCAATTCTACCCCTTACCCCTTCCCTTTCCCCTAGCCCTACCCCTTCGCCTTCCCCTTGACCCTTGAAACAGAGTGGCAATGCGTAGGGGTGAAAATATTCCCCTAAGAAATGGGACACCACTACGCCTCAGTTAAACGTCATTATAAGTCGTCGCTAGCGCCTACGTCACAGGAGATGCGCCGATGTTTATCACAACTTCCAAGATCCCGTCGACAGCTGCAGTTATCAGTCGCGTGGGTTACAGCTATTTTCTTGCATCTTGTGAAGTTCGCAGGAAACAACGGAGACGACGAAAATATGTTGCGGGACTATCGTTAGCAAACTACAGTAATTTTAGCGATTTTTTTTTTTTTTTTTTTTTTTTTTTTTTTTTTTACAAACGTTTCTGTGAAGAAACTGACCGTAAATATGAACACAATATTGAATGTAACATAAAGCAAATCATTATTTGTCGTTATAATACTTATTAAAGCCACAAATACTTAAATTTATGGGTCTCCTTTGTCGCTTGGGCAGCCAGCCTGGGTTAGCAGTGACACTTCTCATACCCCTTCGTTTGAAGTGTGCTCCCGAAAAATCTTCGTTTGAAGGGCTATCTGGCCCTTCACCCTAGCCCTCCCCCTCCAACCAAAAGAGAATTGGGACAGCCCTACCCCTTCACGTGGACGCGCAAAACGGAGGGGAAGGGGAAAGTGAAGGGGTAAGGGGTAGAATTGGGATTGGCCCTTAGCGTACTGGTTCGACCGGTTCATTAAAAAGAACCGATTCGTTCACGAACCGGCCATGTCTATGATCACTAGTCTGCAGAGAGATGAAGGCGGCAAGAGAAAAGGTGAAGACTGGGGAGTGGAAGCTCCGCAAATGCACAAATAGAAAGAGTAAGTGTGGGAGACATTTACCGAAATAATGAAAGATGATGACCAAAGTGCTGCCTTTGTTATATGTAGGCTACGTCTTCTTGCGATGCTGTGTTGTTACACGTTTATGGCCCAATGACGCTACGATGAGCATGTACTACTTTTAAAAAATACGGTCAGGAAGAGGGTCGGGTACAATATTTTCTTACTTTTTTTGCGGTCCGAGTAGCGGGCGGGTAGTTGAAAACGTTGGTAGTGTGCGGGTTGTTTATACATTGACCCGCGCATCACTGTTCCACACGGCTGACATGTCTCCCCATCTCCCCGCTCTGAGCTGCAGCCGGAGCCTGGGGGTGGGCACTCGGCGCCTGTGATTAACCCATTTCTCAGAACATGGTATCGGTCCCCGGTATCGGGGGACTTTTAACGAGTACGAGTACTTTAGAAAATGTGGTATCGAGGCCGATACCAGATACCGGTATCGGTATCGGTGCATCCCTAGTATCGAGAATCGAGTATCGATTGGAACCGGGACTAACTTTTCGTTTTTCCCGGAATCGTTCAAAAGTTCAAATTTCGATTCCTAGTTTCGATATTCACAGTACGCCAAGCGGAAGAAGAAACCGCTGAACAACACCAACGAAGAAGCGTCTACCGGAAGTGTTGTTATAACCGCGCGAGTCGAACATGAGTAGCTTACGTCAGCGGTCCAAAGTGTGGCTTCACTTTTCTAAAAATAACGAAATCTCGGCAAAATGCTAAATTTGTTACAAAAGGAGTATTTCCTTCAGAAAGGATTATTTCCTTCAGAAAGACCGTTGGTTAGCATGGTTAGCTAAACTTTTTTGACCCTGCCTCTTAAAAGAATCAGAATCGAGAATCGTTAGGAACCGGAATCGAAACAAGGAATCGGAATCGGAATCAGAATCGTTCAAATTCAAACGATACCCAACCCTACTTAGGAATGTGTTTGTCATTGAATCGTTCATTTAAGAGATTCGTTTAAAAACACTGATTCATCCAGTAAAGAAACAAGTGAAGTATTAATGAGTGAGTCATTGAATCATTCATACACCATATATATATATTTTTTTTAAATAATTAATTCAAATTCATTCAATATTCAAGGACTGCAGCAATTAACATGCATGTTATTTTAGAGGAGCATGAAAGCATAATAATTGTACATAGAAGGCATAATAATTCTACAATCTGCTTATGTTCAGCTTTAATGATGCTTAAATGATTTGTGTGTGTGTGTGTGTGAATATTGAGTGGTTCCTCAGTTCCACTTGTTTTGATCTATAAAAACACCTCTTTTTTTACCTTTGAGAAACGGGTTGTCTTGCTCCCGTCTTTCATCTCCTTTCCGTTCTTCCTAAAAAACATCAGATTGGACACAGAGCAAAGGATTGAGGGAATGAACGGGATCTGTGTGAGCTCACGGGGACTCTGCATAAAACAGTGGCCCAAAAATAGTAAAGCTTTCCTGTCAGAAAGAGGAAACCAGTGAAGATGTGCTTCAGTTCAGCTTCTGATCCCAGTCCAGTTCCTGTCCACTGTTGACAAAAATACACAATAATACTTTACATTTGTGTGTGCACACATCAAATTAAATTATTCTATTGTATTATTGTCTTTATTAATATTTAGAATTTTACATTACTAAAACTGAGACTAAAATGAAAATATTTAAGATTTAAGATGTTTTGTCAGTTTAATTCTGTTCGTTAATAAGTCGTTTTACATTTTGTTATTTTTAATCTCACTTGAGTTATTTTCAGTTTTAGGTTTTGTAGTTTTAGTACTCAAACTTCAGAAAATAAATCTTTATATTTTAATTAGCGTATTTGTTTATTGTTTGAATAATTAGACAAATAATTGTTCATAACACTGTAAATTTAATTGAATTTAAGTAGTTTAATTTAATAAAAATGTGAAAAAGGAAATTAACTTTTTTTTATAATTGTCAGATTAACAATTTTTTTTAATTTACACTACTGCTGTCAAATCGATTAATCACACGCCGAGATCACAGCATTGCTCTTGACTCCTTGTAATAAACAGAGTTTGTGTAGAGAATTAATTGCTGCAGTATGTGCTCATGCTAATGCTAATGCTAATGCTAATGCTGGCAGTGGTGTGTGTGTTTTTACAGTGCATCAAGTCTTACATCTCTGACTGGCTTGTGGTCAACTACAAATATGAGGATTATTCCAGCGACTTCCGTCAGCTTCCCAGGTGAGACCCGGCATCAGACCGAAACACATTAGTGTGTTTGTGTGTGTGTGTGTGGGATTGTCAGCTTTTGGAAAGTTGTGTGGGTGAGTCTCTCTCTCTGTGTGTGTTTGTGTGTGTGTGAGAGAGAGAGAGCAATTGTCAGCTCTTGGAAACGTGTGTGTTTGAGAGAGTCGGTGTGTGTGTTTGATTGTCAGCTCTTGGAAAGATGTGTGTGTTGGCAAGAGCAGGAAATGTGTTTTTCTGGGTAACAATAGAGCAGAGGAACAGAGAGTGAGGTCATCATCTCCACACACACACAGACCCTTTAACCATTTAAACGGACATCTGTTTTTTTTTCATCTTTAATGACACAAAGTTGATCAGGATGAGAGAGCGGCCAAGATCTATTAACAGAACAAAAAAAAAATTACGAAGAATTTCATTACGAATCATTTCCAAACGTTACAGAAAGCCGAGCCGAAGTTTAAGATAAGATGTCATTCCAGTGTATCACAAATCGAATGAAACATTTCACAACTGTTGAGCAGGGGTGTGAGGGCCGTTATCCCCGTGTGAATCTGAGTGTGTGTTTGTTTGTTCACAGCAAAGTGTCCAGACCTGATAATTTAGCACAGCATGTTTTTGAGGTGGATGAAGACGTGGATAAAGATGAGGTAAATCAAACACACACACACACACCACACTTGGGTCAGATTTAAGGGATGTTTTCATCATGGGTGACAGACATCAGCGAGCTCGATTACGTCATTCGCATTGCTTCATGGGAGTGGGCCTCTCTATAGGTGTGTTTTGTGTTACGGATCACTGATTGGTGGAATTCTCTGTACTGCATCATGGGTAATGTAGTTTTTCACCACTAAATTCACTGTTAAGCATGATTATTTAAAGTTGAAATACCAACAGAAGCAAATACCACGAATGAACAACCTCGTAGCTCACACTCGGGCTTCTTTAAAGCTGTGTAAGTCTGTCACTAGACCCCTTTTCAGTTGCTAAACATTGTGATGTTGTTTGTGGGCGGGGCTTAGGTGGAGGCAGAACGATTCCCCCGCCGCTTCACTAACGCTAGTTTTGTTAGCTTGTTTCTTTGACAATGACTGGAGAAAATCAGATTTAATCTTAATGTGTGCGTTCGGTCATTTAGGGTCCAGGACCACGATTGTTATTTAAAAAGGTTCATTTTGATTCACAATTAATCACAATAGTTTAGAAAACACTACACAACAGGTCTATTACACAAACATTATTACACACATTATTATTACAAACATTGTTACACAACGGAGAAAATGAATGAGTTGTTACTTACAGAGTCCAACTGTAGAGCAAAGACATTTCCTAATGTTGACTGTTTATAATTAAAAGTCCCACATTATTCATGAAGTTTTTATTTTATTTTGAAGGTAATATATATATATATATATATATATATATATATATGAAGAGTTCAGATGCAAAAGCCTCTAAGTGCCATTTGAAATTTTCTTCTAAAATGACCATTTTTATCAAGCTTGTATATTTAAAGGAGCTAAACGCAAGTATCTGAGTTTTTGCAGAACTACGCCCCCTCTGGGGACAAGCAAAACTGCAACCAGAGCTGTGCGCGTTCATGGAGGAACACACACACACAGACACACACACACACGCACGTTTGCACGAGCTGTTCATAACCAAAGTAGCATCAGCCGCACATTGTGCGGCACACATCTTTTGTTACAGTCATAATGAGGTAATACAGTAATAAATCTGCAAGTCATTTAAAATATATGAAAGGAAATGCATTCGAGTAAATTAAACACTTATGTGTGTGAGAGGGGGAATCGGGGGTAGTAGAAAACTTCAGTTTTTGTTTCCATCTATCTCCATGTGCTTACTGTATCCACTTATGATTGAATTATTATGGAAACACGTTCAGTTATCACTTTGTATAGGATCCGTTTGAGCTCTAGAGCAGACCGGAGATCTCTCCGTTTGTTGAAAGCCTTCCCGATGTTGACTCTCGTCTTATTCCGACGCATGGCACTGGACAGACAGAAGTTTTATTTTCTTTGTCTCACGAGGAGTTTGTGTTGGGGTTTGGAATGAACTACAAGCCGGTCTCTTTCCGCGCCATATACAGATTTAATGAAGTGCACGTCACCGAAAGCAACAGATATGAGCTGCATTTTATTAATCATCTGCTAATTTCAAAATCAGCAAAGACAGCAATAAGAGAGATCGGCAACAGGCCTGGTAAGATCATTTCATTTCTTTACTTTTAACGAAGATGGTAGTGTTAAGCGTTTGTGACTTACTTTCACTTTGATTTGCGACAGATTGCGGCGCGCTGGCTTGATAAAGGGGCTCAGCTCAGCTGCTCATCTGAGGTGATGCGCATCGTCATATATGACTAAAATAACATGACATATAGCTTGGTTTCAACAACCAGATGCATTTACACTTGTCCAGTTTCATCTGGAATGCGGCCCAGACCACGTCCTCAAGTTCTTTGAGCGATCGGATTCAAATCCGTCTCTAATGCGTTTCGGAGGGCATTTACACCCTGGTCTTTTCACGATCGAATAGCTATCCGATCACAGAAGACACATGAAGTGACCAGGTGTAAACAGCCCCTTTGAACCCATCGTCTACTTTTGTGGAAAGCTGACTAGAGTTGTGTCGCTCGAGTTGTCTTCTGATACGGAGAACGGCGGGGAATAGCTACACGAACCTGCCAGACATAGCCAGGCGAGCGTGAACGCGCATGACGTCACGGCCAGTCTCAGATTCGAGCCCGAATCCCTCTTATATATTTCACTGTACAGGATTATAGAGGCGATCGCAGTGATCAAAGAAGGGCTCATTCAGCTCATCAGACGATTGTTTAAGCATGTATGGGTTAGAAAACGGCTATTTTTAACATGAAATGTTGCGCAATGCACCTTTAAGTTCAGTAATTTCACTTAAATGAAAATTAATAGGTAATCTTCATTGCCATTTAAGTGAAATTACTGAACTTAAATATACAAGCTTGATAAAAATGATCATTTTAGAAGAAAATTTCAAATGGCACTTAGAGGCTTTTGCATCTGAACTCTTCATATATATATATATATATATATATATATATAACTAGTTTATTTTTGTGTTCTAATATATTAAATCAGTTTGCTGTGTAAATGTCTCCTTGTAACCCTTGTCCCTTTTTTGATGCGTGTCATTGCAACAAAAGTGATTTGTTCAATGTGCCTGTAAAGTCAGTAAACACTCCTTTAAAAACTCCTTTAAAAACTTCATAATACTCCATCTGGATCCCACAGACCCCTCAGTCTCATATTGAAATACTTGCCATTTTAGGCATTTTTTCATCAACTCAAAATATATGTAGGCCTTCTTCTTTTAATATTTGAAACATGTTATGATATGAGATACACTGACACTAATGCCATATGATTTAGGATAGTATGTACGTTGTACCAGTGGATCCAGGTTTTCCCAGAATGGACATGACCTGGCATATGAATGCATCTGAATGCTTCCCACATACTCATCAGCTTCCCACTCGAGCTTGAGTCACGTTTCCTATTTTAGCGTGTGTGTCCGATGCGTCTCAGGCCGTGGGTTGGAGGATCTCAAGATAGCGGTGTTGTTGTGCAGTTTTGGCCTGTACTGCACTGGGGCTCATTTGTCTAATTTGGTTGCTGACGGATTTCTTGTGTTTATAGAAAGTTGAGTGTGTTTTGGCAGCGCAGTGAACACACAGCCAATCGCTGATGGCTGTCCAACGGCACAGCCAATCATAACCGCTCGCCACATCAAGGTTTTACATCACAGCCGTCACAATCTCAGGCCGTTTTCAAAAACTTTAATATTTAATAGTGAGTGTTGCTCAGTCGTGGCGCTAACTTGGATTGGTTACATGCAGAGGACGAATTATGAATATGAGTTACCATATTTGACCTTCACATGTCACTTTCAGTATTACAAGTGTAATGTCAACAAACACGTAACCACAGTGTTTATGTGAATGATAAAAATCATAGTAAATCATTGTAAAAAAAATAATTCCACGGACTAGCATTGAAGGAAAGACCCGAGTCTTATCTAGATACCAAGCGTCACTAACTTGTGTACACACTATTGAATATGTTTGTGTTGCACCAAATTTAGTTGAAACATAACTCTACATATAAACTAAATATTCACTTTTGCTCTGAAAACTGAGTTGTATAAAATCATGTTCAAAGTCTCAAATATGATCATCAGGCTTTTGACGAAGGTTTATATAAATCTAAGCTTTTAAATATCAGCTTACTAAGACATTATTATATTAGTATATGCATTGTATGAAGTCTTATGTAGTCACTCTACAGTCACACAAATCTCATTGATTTAAAGTTTTCTCGGTTTGAGCCTCTGCATTAAATTGGGGTTTGAATCTGAGCTCTACATTCCCACTATATGGGTCCTATAATAAGACATCCCCACTATATCAGACTATACGAGTCCTATAATAAGACATTCCCACTATATCAGACTATATGAGTCCTATAATAAGACATTCTCACTATATCAGACTATATGAGTCCTATAATAAGACATTCTCACTATATCAGACTACACGAGTCCTATAATAAGACATTCCCACTATATCAGACTATATGAGTCCTATAATAAGACATTCTCACTATATCAGACTATATGAGTCCTATAATAAGACATTCTCACTATATCAGACTATATGAGTCCTATAATAAGACATTCCCACTATATCAGACTATATGAGTCCTATAATAAGACATTCCCACTATATCAGACTATATGAGTCCTATAATAAGACATTCTCACTATATCAGACTATATGAGTCCTATAATAAAACATTCCCACTATATCAGACTATATGAGTCCTATAATAAGACATTCTCACTATATCAGACTATACGAGTCCTATAATAAGACATTCCCACTATATCAGACTATATGAGTCCTATAATAAGACATTCCCACTATATCAGACTATACGGGTCCTATAATAAGACATTCTCACTATATCAGACTATACGAGTCCTATAATAAGACATTCTCACTATATCAGACTATATGAGTCCTATAATAAGACATTATCACTATATCAGACTATACGAGTCCTATAAGACATTCTCACTATATCAGACTATATGAGTCCTATAATAAGACATTCCCACTATATCAGACTATACGAGTCCTATAATAAGACATTCCCACTATATCAGACTATATGAGTCCTACAATAAGACATTCCCACTATATCAGACTATATGGGTCCTATAATAAGACATTCTCACTATATCAGACTATACGAGTCCTATAATAAGACATTCCCACTATATCAGACTATACGAGTCCTATAATAAGACATTCCCACTATATCAGACTATATGAGTCCTATAATAAGACATTCCCACTATATCAGACTATATGGGTCCTATAATAAGACATTCCCACTATATCAGACTATATGAGTCCTATAATAAGACATTCTCACTATATCAGTCTATATGAGTCCTATAATAAGACATTCTCACTATATCAGTCTATATGAGTCCTATAATAAGACATTCCCACTAGATCAGACTATATGAGTCCTATAATAAGACATTCTCACTATATCAGTCTATATGAGTCCTATAATAA